GGCATGCGATCCTTGGTGAGGACGACCCATACCAAGTCACCTGGGGCAAGTATCAGTTCACGCTGATGGCTGTCAGCACGAGCTTTGTATCGTTGTGCCGCTGCTTCAAGATTACCCACCACAAGTTTATGAGTCTCCTGGAGAGATTTCACAAAGTCAGACGCCTTACCATGAAGACGTTTAGGATCAGGCAGTGGCGCCAAATCAAGAGGACACCGAGGTACAATTCCGTAGACGACTTGAAATGGACTGAACCCTGAGCTGCGATTAGTAGCATGATTGTGAGCGAACTCTGCCTGGCATAAACGAGACTCGCAAGCGCGAATATTGTCTCCAACCAAAGCTCTTAACATGTTACCAAGGGATCGATTGACAACCTCTGTCTGGCCATCGGATTGAGGATGGTAAGCTGTGCTCATGTCCAAGCTCGTGTGCAACATCTTCCACAACGATCGCCAAAAATGGCTCAAGAAGCGGGTGTCCTTGTCTGAAACGATCGAGGTGGGCAAACCGTAAAGGCGATATACCTCACTGAAGAACAATTGTGCCACACGAACTGCATCAGTCGTATGCTTGCAGGCAATAAAATGCACCATTTTGGAGAAACGGTCCACCACAACGAAGATCGAATCGTTGCCTTTCTGAGTACGTGGTAATCCAAGCACAAAGTCCATGCTGACATCAGTCCATGGCTGAGTCGGAACCGGAAGTGGCATGTACAATCCGGCATTTGATGCTTGTCCTTTGGCTAATTGACAATGCCGACAACGCTCAACATAACGCTCCACATCACGACGAATTGACGGCCAATAATACGATGAGGTGACGTGTTGCAGAGTCCTGTCGCGGCCAATGTGACCCTCGCTGTGGAGCTCCTCAATGACGCGCAGCCTGAAACTGCAATCAGGAATGCATAGTTGTGAACCTCGAAACAGAAAACCGTCCACCAAGGAGTAATCACTCTGTTTTTCTGCCTTAACGTCAAGTAACACGGTAGCAAAGAACGGATCGGACTCATATAACTCCGAGAAACAAGAGAATCCAGGTACTGAGGCGTGTAATGTAGTCAACAAGACATGGCGGCGACTCAAAGCGTCGGCTACGCGGTTTAATTTCCCTGACTTGTGACGAATAGTGAAAGTGAATTGCTGCAGGTACGCGATCCAGCTTGCATGACGAGCAGACACTTTCACTTGGCTGTCAAGATGTTTCAGTGCATCATGATCTGTGAAAAGAACAAAATCGCGATGTACTAGATAATGTCGCCGATGACGAATTGACTGAACCAACGCATAGAATTCTACATCATAGGTACTGTAACGGCTCCTAGCTCCAGCGAGCTTTTCACTGAAAAAGGCGACATGTCGTGACTGTTGACTTAAGACGGCACCAATGCCTAACTTGGAAGCATCACAATGGAGTTTGAATGTCTCCGAGAAGTCTGGCAGAATCAAGACTGGCGCTGTTGTTAATTTAATTTTGATCAGATCAAATGCTGCTGCTGCCTCTTGAGTCCAGGCGAAGGTTGTACCCTTCATACGTTCGTGCTAAAATGCGCCACAAACCTTCTGTAAAAAGAGGCTAAACCGTGGAAACTCCTTATCGCGGAGATGGAGGTAGGTGAAGGCCACGCTCTTATCGCTTCAACCTTACTCATGTCCATCAACAAACCATTTTTAGAGACAACATATCCCAAAAATAAAACTGATTCGACGCCCCATTCACACTTCTGTTTAGCAACATATAGCTGGTCACGACGCAGAATCATGAGGACCTGCCTGAGATGCTCGATGTGAGCTTCTAAGGAGCTGCTGAATACCAAAATGTCGTCAAAGTAGACAACCACAAACTTACCAATGAATGGACGAAGTGCTTGATTCATGATCCTCATAAATGTGTTGGGCGCATTGGAGAGTCCAAAAGGCATGACAAGCCACTCGAACAAGCCTTCACGCGTCTTAAACGCTGTCTTCCACTCATCACCTGGTCGAATACGGATCTGGTGATATCCACTTTTCAGATCGAGCTTAGAGAATATTGTCGCTGCCCCAATCTGGTCCAACAAGTCGTCGAGGCGTGGGATAGGAAATCTGTAGCGTACCGTGATCTTGTTGACCGCTCTGCTGTCAACGCACATGCGCCAAGAACCATCCTTTTTGGGAATGAGCAAAGCTGGTACTGCACAAGGACTGAGGCTCTCTCTGATATGTCCTTTAGCCAATAAGGCTTCAACCTGTTTGCGCAATTCTTCGTGTTCCTGAGGGCTCATGCGGTAGTGGGGTCGGTTTGGTAATGAAGCGCCAGGGACAAGGTCAATGTGGTGCTGTATGTCCCGAAGTGGAGGTAATCCCAACGGAAGATCTGAGGGAAAAACATCACTGAACTCCTCCAATAGCGTTAGAATGGCTGGGTCAGAAGGAGATGATGGTGGAGCTGCTGTACGAACTGCCATCACTGCGAGAGCAAATTTTTCTTCTAGCAATTCTTTTGTAAACGCCGAGTGAGAGCAGAATAGCACTGTGTTGCTTGATCCTGTGCCTTCTACCAGATTAGGCACCACAGTCGGATGTGTCGGAGCATGTGTCAGCGGATCATCTTGATTTGGAAGCAAAACGATTCTGCGATTTTCAAAGAAGAAGCTGTAGACATTACTCCTGCCACTATGAGAAACATCTATGTCGTACTGCCATGGCCTGCCCAATAGTATGTGGCTGACGTCCATTGGTACAATATCGCAGTAGATTTTGTCTTTGTAATAAGATCCAATGGAGAGGGAGACAAGGGCGCGTTGAACAACACGAATTTCAGAACCCTCCTTGAGCCAAACAAGTTTATATGGCGCAGGATGGTCCGAGCGCCGCAACCCCAGCTTGTCCACTGCCAATTCAGATATCACATTACGCGAGCTGCCAGAGTCAATCACAAAACGGCAAATTCTGCCTTTGATGGTACATGTCGAAGCAAAAATATTTGTCCGAAGCCAAGGCTGATCATCATGTCGCATTGGAGCGAGGCAAACGCGGCGTAGCATTAGTAATGTACCCTGATCCCCTTCGTTGTGTTCTTCCAAGACATTTTCTAAAACGTCATCCTGATGTTCTAAACCATCATCATCCCACTTAACCTCGTCTGTCAGTAGACCTCGGCGAGTGGCATTGGGACAAGCAGTCTGGCGATGTCCATTTTCTCCACAGGTGAAACATCGCAACGCGTTGGGTCGTGTAGAACGTCGTAACTCCTCAGTCACAGTGTTAGTTCGGTTTGCTGGTTGTTGTCGAGTGCCCTGTGGTTCGCCTGTGTCCTTTGCTGTTTGAGTCTGAGTGGTAGGATCAGAAGACGATGGTGGAGGCCGCGACCTCGTCGAGTTATTCCAAGGCTGTGAAGATGACTTGAATTGTAGCTCAAAAGCCACAGCACGCCGGTGAGCTTCTGCCACTGTAAGAGGGTCAAATTGAGACATTGCATTTTGTGTTTGAGGTCTCAAACCTCCTATAAATCGTGACACCAGCTGAACCTCACTGTCAAATACTTCGTTGCGCGTGAGGAGCAAAGAAAATTCCTCCGCATAGTCATCCACTGAACGAGATCCTTGTCTAAGGTTTTGTAGTCTTGTGAACATTGTACGATCATAGTTATACGGTAGAAACGATTTACGGAGCACTTTCTCGAGTTTAGCCCACGTGGAGATGTTAGCTTTTCCTGCTCAAGCTCGAGAAGCTTTAAGTTGTAGCCACCATGAAGCTGCTTTTCCCCGAAATTTAGTGGCTACTAAAGCAACTTTTCTTTCTCCCGGGTAGAGCTGGGAATATGAGTGATCACCCGCGGGTCCCGCCCCGTTTGACCCGCTGCGGGGCGGGTGCGGGTTGAACAATTTGAAAAAATCGATTGGCGGGTGCGGGTGCGGGTTTTGAGTATTTTATGCGGGGCGGGTGCGGGTTGGTGAATTTTTAATCGCGGGTACCCGCCAACCCGCAAAATTTTTTTTTTTTCATTTCTTTTTTTTAAATTGTGTTTTTTTTGTTAGAAAATAGTATTTTTTTGGAAAAATAAATATATTTTTAAAAAATTACGGTATTTTTTAAAAAAATAATAATTAAAAAATTTGAATATATATAATTTTTTTTATAAATATATTATTTTTATTACTTTTTCATAAAAAAATAAATTAAATAATTATTTTTTTTAAAAGATATATAACCCGCGGGTCCCGCGGGTTACCCGCAAAATTAAGCGGGGCGGGTGCGGGTGAAAATTTATACGGTCGCGGGTTGTGCGGGTCGGATTTTTTAACAAAAAAAGTAACTAAAATCCGCGGGTTGGCGGGTCAGCGGGGCGGGTTTGACCCGCAACCCAGCCCTACTCCCGGGACACGCTTGAATTCAAGCATCTCTTGAACTGCTACTAACCAATCCAAGAGCTCGTCACCACGGACGCCGCCGTGAAATTCTGGAAGCTCCACTTTAAAGCCCAACTCCCAAGTTCGATCTTCATGGTCACGACGAGGTATAGCTCCTCTGTTGCGCGGACGGCGGACTTCTTCGGCGAAAGGGTTATCTTCCACGTCGGTCGTTCCATCTGCAGAGAGGACATCTACACGATCCCGATCCGGATCACGATCATATTGAACCTGACGAGCCACTCGAACCGGCTGTTCTTGACGCAAGAAAGCAGCCTCTGCGAGCTCACGAATTGAATCTTGTATTGTAAGCTGCAAATTTTCTTGCATAGCGAGGAGTGTACGCCTCAATTCTTCCCATTCGTTCACGGGTTGATCCGCAATGTTGTTTCGACGAGGGGCCATTGTATTAGTTCTGAAACGTGAAAAGAAAAGAAAAAAAAATTTTAGGTCGGATAGAACATGCTCTGATACCAAACTGGCGCAGCGTATAGGATCAAAAGGAAGTTTGTTTAGTCAAAGAATACCCAAACACTGCTTTTGTTCTTGTTGTCGTTGATTCAACAGAATACCGATAACAAGAGATAAGAAGAAACTTGTAAAAGCTCTCTGTAAATTCAATAAAAGGTGAAGGTTTACAAAAGACGAAGACTCTAATAAATAGCTATTCCAAACACCGACTTTCCTAGGACTTATCTAAACTAATAATAAAGGTGATAATGACAAAAGATAAACTCAACACCAAAACAAGAAGTAAAACCAACGAACTTGGTTTAGAGTGATAACCAAGTAAGTAAACCAAACGAGATGCGCTGCATCAGGAACCCAAAGAAACAGAGACACCACTTAAAACAACCGAGGCAGCATCCTTCTGTGCCTTTCGTTTGGGAAGAACGGCCTGGCTTCCCCAAGAAGAACTGGCAACCTTCACTAGCCACCTTCGTGCCTTCTCCTCCTCCACTTCCGCCTCCTATCCCTGTCCCGGTTAAGCTCATCACTTCCGTTCCTTTCAGTTGGGAAAAGACTCCTGGCAAACTGCTACTCAAGCTTCCACAACCACCGTCAGAAACCATCATGACTCCTCCATTACCACCTCCGGTTCCAGTTCCGGTCAAGCTGGTTGCTTCAGTATCTTTCCTTTGGGAAGAGACCCCTGGAAAACCGGCCCCTTCTTCCGCAAATGACCCGCCTAAGCTTCCACAGCCACCATCGAAAACCGTCAAGACTCCTCCCATACTACCTCCCGTTCCAGTTCCGGTTAAGCATGTTACATCGATTCCATTCCACTGGGAAGAAACTCCTGGACAACCATACCCTTGCTTTGTTGATTTCAACCCACCTGACCCGCTGGACCAACCGCTGCCACCACCTCCCATGTACGGTGGTGAGGTCAAAAACAACAACGATACTTATGATGATACACGCAGTGATTGCTTCAGCTCTGTGCCGTTATCAGGTGCTTTTGCAGTGCATGAATTTGATGACAACACGAATAGAGAGACGGGCTCGATGCCAACATCCCCAGCCTATGATACTGATGACAGTACAAGCAGTTACATGACGGAAGCTTCCAGTCTCGTGGGAGCTTCGTTCTTGGAAGAGCTCTTTCCACGTCTTCCACAAGCTTCCACGGCTCACGATGTTCAGATTACTACAGGTTCTAATGACATGAACTTTGGCTTTCTTGTGAGGACGAAATATACACTCCGGGAGTTAATAATGATGAGCCGAAGGAGGAGTTACATGAGAAGGGCTGTTGAAATGAGAAAGCACAATCCTTCCATTGGTAAAACTTTCACATTCTCTTTTGGATAGCTATATATCATGCTCATATCTAAATTCAATCACAAAAAAAAAAAAAAAATGAAGATTCTGAAAAGTGACACTTGCCTGGATAAACTAGCAGGAATTTACAAAATATGGAGCTGAGAGTACCTGCCTCTTTGAGCCGGACATCAAGATGATATAAGGACGTGAGTGGAAAAGGTACCAACGAATTCTGAAGCTCCTTTAGAAGAAAACTCTTACAATTTGTATATGACGAAACAGAAAGTGTCGCAAAGCCGTAATCTTTTCATAGATGTAGAAACTTGGTTTTGGTACAAATAGAGCAACGAATTAGAATGCCAAACTCTTTCTTCTGCAAACGATAAAGTTACATCTTCTAATCCATTCCTATCTTCCAAACTTCTTAGAAAAACCCTTGTGAAATGAATGTATAACAGTGGCCTACTAACCCAAAACATGGCTTGGCTTAAAAATCTGGATGATTCAGCAAAGCAGTTTAATCCGTTCCATGAGCACTGAGATGTCTTCATCAGCCAAAGCGGTAAAACAGCACCTGAACCAACCCGGTTCTATACAATAACAGGCTGTTCCTGGAGTGGCATTAATCTTAGCAACACTCAGTAGCTTCTCAAACAAGTCGAGTTCTCCTTTCTCACTGTAAGATGTCAGTAAACTGCTCATGTCAACCCAACAATACAACCCACCACCACTCTCAGCACACGGAATCCCTATTTGCTTCAAACCTTCCACAAAGAGAAAATGCTTATCTCTGATCCTTTGCCTGTGGGCTGCCATGTATTCCTCGATAAACCTTGTATCCGATAGCAGAGAGATAAGTATCCTTTGGACTGGAACTGGCATAGACGAAAATCTCATCAGCTTCTTCGCGGCATTGATTACATCTTCATGAAAGGAATAGATGACTCCAGCTCTAAAACCAGGAAGCGAAAGGTCTTTGGACAAGCCGTAGATAATATGAACCCTACTCTTATCGAAATCCCCCGAGGCAGCAGCTACCTCAGCCATGCTAACAAACTCTTTGTCCCCGTAAACAGAACCGGCGAATATCTCATCAGAGATAACATGGATGTTCTTCTCTTGAGCAAAGCTCAAAATAGCATGTAGAGTCTCTCTCGATAGTATGTTCCCAACAGGGTTTGAGGGGTTGGAGAAGAGGATGCCAGAGACCTTACTTCCCCGCTTTCTAGCTTGATTCAAAGCTTGTTCCAGCGCAGAAACAGTTAGAGTGAAATTGTCAGAGCTACGACAGTGTACTGGTATAAGCTCAACTCCTGTCCTGAACTTAATATCTCTGTCAAAGCTGCAAAATTAAGTATTCTTGTTAGTAACATGGGCACAGAAAGAGAAGAGTGCATGAGAGTTAAAAAAAAGTTACCCAGGATAATAGGGGGAGGGAATGAGAAAAGCGTTTCCATGATCAGCCAAGCAGAAGGCCAATACTTCGACAGCAGGAGTCCCACCGGCTGTGATCACCATGTTTGAAGGGTCAAAAGATACGTTACCTCCCATTATTCGTGACATGAAATCAGCAAAAGCCTGCAAACATAAGGATGAGAAAGTAAGAGCTCTCTCCCTCCTCTACAAGAAGCTATAAGTTAACACATACAGACATACCACTCTGAGCTCCAGCAACCCTTCGAAAGGTTGATACATGGCGATGCTACTGATATCAAATCCATCAGATTGCAACATCAACGAATCCATTAGATTCTCAGACATCCATCTCTGAAGCAAGTCAAAGCACAGCTACAAAAAAAAAAAAGCAATGAATCAAAACCAAATCACCAAGATTTATAAAAAAAAAAAAAACATTTAACTACTTACTGTACTCTCAGCCAGACCAAGCTGGATAATCCCATCCCTATTAGTAAGGGGATCGTAGGGATCGGTCTTGACTCTCTCCAACCCTATATAGTAAGGAGAATCGGGAGGTTTCGCGAGAGGAACAGCTCTGGAGGAGACTCGGACACGTCCGATGCGACTGGACCGAGAGGAGGTCCTCGGTAACTCCGTGGAGGAGTCGGGATCGGGAGGAGGAGGAGAACGGCGTCGTTTGAGGTAAAGCTGGAGGAAGTAAAAGAGACAGCAAGGGATGAGAGAGCCGACGAAGAGACCTCCACGGCCTTGAACCACTCCCTGGAGAGGTACTATCAGCCTCATTGCCCCCCAACTGATTCCAGCCGTTCGTTTGAGGGTAACGAATATGAGAAAGTGGTACGACGACGTGTTGTCAACTGTGGAGATGATTCTTACCAAATATTCATTTCCTTGGTGTGGTGTGGATATTTACCAAATTTGTATGAAATGTTTGTAAAATGGCCATTTGGTACTTTTCGATGAAATTATGAAACATCCCCAACAATAACCAAAAAATAAACAGAAAAATTAGGCTTAGTCGGGTAATAATTTGGTTTATCATTTCTTTCTGATTTTTAGTCGTACTGAAGTCTGTAAAATGGCCATTTGGTATTTTTTCCTTTCTTTTTTCAACTTAACATCAACTTTCATTAGCCAAATGTTTTGATACAAACAATTGTGACGACAATATCTCAGTAGAAACTTTAACCACAATGTGATCTAAGGACAAAGATATAGCATCATCTAGAATCACTAACTTGGATTCTACATTACCATATCTATCAACCGATCACTTTGACCACCATGAGAACAAATTTATTTTTCCGTATTATTATTATAGTTGAGACTGGGAAAACATAATAGAACAATCAAACAAAGTTTTGGATTTATAACCTTTGGAGAACCTTTGTTGCGTTTCTTATCTTCTCCATAGTAACACATTCATCGGGCTGAGACATTGAGGCTCTAAGCTCAGCCAATGCTACAGCTGCATCTTTTAACAAAACTTTGTTCTCCTCCAAGCAGGTTGTAAGAGACGATATTACTTGTTTGGCCTCCTCTTTAGTTTTGGGGCTTATTCCAACTTCAACACGTTATTCAATTTCATCTAAAGTGTGTTGAGCTATTTCTTCCGAGAGAGAGGTCGTAACAATGATTTCTCTCCTAGTACTCATCCAGCAAGCTTCTAACAAGAAAGGGAATCCAAAGTCTAACTGAGAACTACAGCGAGTAGCAGCAGCAACTCCCGATCTGAGTGCCTGGGCCCTAGAAATTAAAGAAAAAAGGAGAGATTCTTTAATACAAAATTTCATAATTCAACTCAACAGATCGTTTCACCGGCAATCAAAACCCTATGTAGCTTTCAATTTCCCAGCAAAGACCATAAACTTTGAACAACAGAACAAACAAGAAATTAATTGCATAATCCAACTCAACAGATCGTTTCATTGCCAATCAAATTCCTAAGTAGCTTCAATTTCTCAGCAAAGACCATAAAGCTTAAAATAAAGCAAGAGCTTAATTGCATAATCCAATTCAACAGATCGTTTCATTGGCAATCAAAAGCCTAAGTAGCTTTCAATTTCTCTGCAAAGACCATAAATTTTGAACAACAAAACCAAACTAGAGATTCTTACATATGAAACCTTGAAATAATCCGGGAAACAGAGAACATGCTCGTCCGTGTATATGTCCTTGAGAGTATGAGCAATGAGAGCTCTTCCCTAGTGCACTCAAAATAAATATAAATAAAAAAAAAAATAAAGTAGAGGAAAGAGAAGAAAAAGTTGAGAACATGTTCTCATGTTTTATGGCATTTTCATAAAAAAAAGCACAATTTTGAAAATCCTAATGTAAAGATGGCATCATGTGCAATTAATCCCATCTGTATTTGACCGTGTTTGGACCAAAAAGAAGAGAGGAAAAAACTGTCTCGGTCGAATAAAAAGTTGAAAAGAGAAGATTAGACTAGACATGGACGTTTGGGTATTCGGGTCGGGTCGGGTTCGGTTCGGATAATTCGGGTTTCAGTTCTTTCGGTTCTTAGGTCTAGGATTCGTTCGAGTATTTTTTGAGTTCGGTTCGGGTTCGGATCCGGGTATTTTGGGTATTTATATTAGGAACCGAAAAATTCCAGTAATTGTTCAAATATTTTTGGTTCTAATAGTTTGTTTACTTTTAAGTACTCGAAGTATTCGAAATATCCAAAATACCCGAAAATATCCAAAATAGTTGAGTAAAATATTAAAAAACTACCTAAATAATTTTAAAAATAAATAATATTAGAAATAAAAATTAAAATTTGATTATTTATATTATATATACTAATATAAAACATAAACAATATTTTGAATTTATAATTATTTTGGATATTTTAAGTACTAATTCAGTTTTTTGTTCGGTTTCGGTTCTTTCGGGTATTAAAATTAAGATTCGATCGGGTATTTCAAAAGTTCGGATTCGGGTTCGGGACTACGGGTTCAGTTCGGTTCTTCGGGTTCGGATATTTTGTCCACCTCTAATTTGACAATAAATGTGTAAGTTACACAGTTATTAGGTTTTTTTTTGTTACAGTAAAAATCAAAATGCAAAAAAATGTTGGAAATATATATTTTTTTTTCGGCAAATGTTGGAAAGATAAGAACACTTATTGTTCTCATTGAGTGTTTTGGTGACCAAACGTGTCTCGGTAAACTGAAAAAGAGAAGATTGAAGTAACTAGGAGTGACTATCTTTATTAAAAAAAAAAAACTTTACACAGTTATTTTTTTGTTCGGTAGAAAAAGATACTTCTCTGTGTTACACAGAGCTTAACACAGAGCTTAAAAAAAAACTCTGCTGTTTGCTTGCGAGACCTACTGGTGGTCTCTTCCTCAACCACAATGCGGACTGTTTTCAAGTTCGGTTCAATAAGAAAGAGTTTGACAGAAAGGTTAGCATCTCAATATCCTTTGTTCATCTTCTATATTTCTATCTTTTATACTGTAGCGTTTATATAATAGCTTCTACCCTCTAATCAAACCATCAAAGCACAATTGTTCTTCACAATAAGAAGAAACCTGAGATTCTCATTGTGCGTGAACCGGGGTTATGGTCTCGAATTCGCTATGATTGTGCTCTTCTTTCTTTGGAACATTTTCTTGTTTGATGATTTTGTTAGTATTACTAGTTTTTTGTCTTCTCTGTGTTCTTTTTCTTTTGGTTTGGCGGCATTAATTTTGATACCTTGAGTTGATTATGCAATTTGAGTAATTTCTCTTTTATTTTTTGTCAGCTCAAAACAACGAAGTGGAGTAAACCACACAATTACTAGGGCTGGGCATTTTATCCGTTATATTTGATTCGATTCGTTATTCGTTTCGATTCGATTCGAAAATTCCGGATATTCGTAAACTTTCGAATCAAAGCAAATACTAAAATTCAATATCCGTTAAAATCGAAGCAAATCACAAATATTAAAATTTTGGGAAGCGGATATCCGATCCGATGCGGAAATATATAAATATATGTATATCTTGATTATATTTAAAATTTTAAATGTATAAAATTATATAATTATTATTCTATCACATGATTTTGAACAATTCTATTCACATTATTACTTATATAAAAATATTACATAAAATAGAGAGAAAAACTTATGACAATTATTTTTTTTTCTTAAATTTTGTGCTATTATAATTGTAACTTAAACTTAAAAAATTAGAAAATGTGTAAATTCACTAGTTCTTTTCATTTTTATTTTATATATCATGAAAAAATATTTTTGCAAAGCAAATTTGTATCAAAATCCTAAGATTATTTGTATTAATCATAATGGATGAGATATCCGTAAATATTCGTAAATATCCGCAAATATCTATTTATTTTCCGGATATCCGTTTTTCCGGATATCCGTATTTTTTCGAAGCAAAGCAAATACCAAAATTAGATATCCGTAACATTCGAAGCAAATCACAAATACCTTAAAAACCCCGGATATCCGATCCGTGCCCACCCCTAACAATTACAAAGATATTGACTTAACATATGAGACTAAGACCTAATAAGGAATTCCAAATCTATCTGTAGTCAGAGGTCCCACTTGATTTACATTAGGTACTTGGATGTTGACTCTACACCAAAGGTGCATATTCCTTCCTCAAATTCATCCCAAATATCAGTCAAATCCCATCCTTATTCAGTAGATCCAGAGCCCATGAACCATAAACAATGTGATAGTATCTTCGTTGACACATTCATTTCAAATCAGAAAAAAAATTCCCCACCAGACCGGTGCATAAGCTACCTTCGGAGACTTCTCCATTGTGGGTTCCTAATCATGTATCTAAATGCCGCCAGAAAAGAACGAAACTTATCTTCGAGAGGAAAAGATTTAATTCGTCTGGAATGAAAAGACGGGTACAGATGTCAGATCCACCATTGCTCTTCCAATAATCCTACAAAAGAACATATAACGCTTGGAGAAGAACTGCCACAACACGATTTGACATCTTTGGAAGAATACATAACAAAAAAGGGGAAAATTGCTCTGACCAAAATCCAACCCTAAAAGCTGGCCTCTGAAAGCAGCCACCTCCTTAACTCAACTCGCCGTGGCTCCAGAAGCTCGGAGACCACACTACACAGCCAGATCTGAGATCTGAAGACCAAAGGGACTAGAGACCATGCGCATCTCGAAGAGGGGGAGGAACGTTCTCAGAAGCAAAAGAAAAATGAGAAAAGGGAAAAGGAGCGGAGCTCCGACGTCGACAGAGCGTCGAACGCCGGAGAGGCGCGGAGGCGGCTAGGATTACTCTCTCGGTTCTCTCTAGGTCATTTTTTTGTTCTTGCCGTTTCAATGGCCATCTATACTATTAAAGCTGAAGTACAAAAAGTTAGTGTTTGGAAACATGAATATGACATTTAAAATTATGGTGATTAGATACAAGGATAGCCTACAAACCTAATGGACTTATTTATTAAACTAAAGATTACTGCGGCCCAAAGTACCATTATTATTGTTTTTTGGTTTTCTATCATTGATATTACTTTATTTCTGAAAATTATTTATACATATATGTATTCATGTTTTAAATGTATTTAGAATAAATCAAGAATAATATATATTTTATTTATATGATTTATATTGACTATTGTTATAAGTTTTTAACAATGATATAATAGCCTTCCAATTCTTTGTTAAAAAATTAACTTAAAAATTTGACAAAATTGTTTAGTGTATATAACTTTGTACCAAATTTAGCCAAAAAGAATTTTATAAACTATTACTAAAATGTTTACGGGTCACACCATTTTACGACACCCCTATTACACAATACAGTGACGAAATACAATATTTAAACAATATACTATTACTTAGTAAAATTGGAACCATTAGTTTGTAATTTTTTGAAATGTTTATATATACCATAAAAATAAAGACCCGCCCAGTCGGGCGGGTTATGATCTAGTTTGGTATTAAAAGGTTTCTATGCT